CCCTCCCTACCTCAGTTGTAGCGTGGCCGAGCCCAGTATAGTCGGCGGGTACAGGGAGCAGCTGTCTCCTGTACCCGGCCGGACTAAAAGGAAGTGAACACTGAGTGTGCACTTCCTGTTAGTCCGGCCGGGTACAGGAGACAGCTGCTCCCTGTACCCGCGGACCATACTGGGCTCGGCCACGCTACAGTGAGGGAGCTGACAGGAGGGAGCGCTCAGCGCTTCCCTCCTGTCAGCCCCTCTCCTCAGGCTGCACCCGGGCGGTGCGGTCCGCCCTCATGGACGCACCGCCCGGGCAAAGCTGCAACCGCCTGAGGCGCTCTACAGGGCGCTCGGGCGGCTGCAGCATGGGGGGGCCGGCGCTCCTGGTGGCGCCCCTTCCCAAGGGGCGCCCTAGGCAGCTGCCTAGTCCGCCTTACAGGTAGCGCCGGTCCTGCTTGGAGCAGTGTCAGTAACGCATTTCGCGTCACAAGTTCATCCCTTTTTAACCCACCCACAAGCGTCCAGCTTCACAGGATGTCAATGTTGGGGGGGAGTGGGGTATGTGTTTCTATGCAATGGCATTGCAAATATATGCTGTAACAGCACTTTTAATTATTTGTGAGTATGCGACCCATGATTCCCACTGGTGGACTTTGCATATTTTTATTCAAACTTGCAGTATTTTGATAAAAGGGGTTAATAAGTGGTGGGGGTATATTGCTTTTATTTCCAAGAGAAAACAAACGATAAATACTAAGTAAGTGGAATATTTTTTAAATTAAAAAAAAATATATAGCCACTTTTCTGTAACTAGAGCTTTTTTTATTACTTTCTGCTCTAGGCTGACTTCTACAGACCAGCTTTATGTAGGTATATAAAACACTAATCATGTAATCTCTCCAAACTCTATCTACAGCAGTGACTTATTGAATCATCTAAATAAAACTCACTGTGTTATGCATTAACCCTTTGAACTCCCACACATGGTTGATCCTTATCGCCATGCTTATTTAGAGTTCCAGAACTTGTATGAATCCCTCAAACTTAGATCAGATTGATATTTGTCTTTTATCTGGTTCTGTGGGAGGAATTAATTAGTGTCTAACATGTTTTTGGAAGCACAATAAAGAGAGCGATAATGTGTACTGAGGCTTAGTCCAGGCAGTCTTTTAAGCTCTCATTTAATCCTGTTTTGCTTCATTCGGAAATCTGTATCTAAAGAAAAGGAACATTGTCCGTAGTGGATATGGAACTGGCAGAGTTAGCTCTGTGAAAACATTATAAAAATTCAGAACTAGTTTTAACCTGTTAATGAGCAAAATAATTCATCATAGACACAACGGTCACTTTAAAGGGACACTACTTACACGTAGAACTAAAACAGTTGGCAATACTCAAGCAGCAGTGGACAATCAGCCAATACCCATCTTGAGAACCAGCAACAGTCCCAGCCTAAGTTGTCTAGAGGTGTAGGATATCCAGCATCCAATAAAGGCAAGAGAAGGCATTGTGGCTGTGTAAAATACATAAAAACAGGTTGCGCCTAAAGGTGTAAAACGATAGAATAATATAATTATAATAATATCAAATAAGTTCCAATACTTACAGTCCAAATATTGCAATCCCAACTGTTTCTGGATTCTTGGGGAATGTTGGTTCTTGGTTAAGGTGCTTGCAAATATATGTAGGGAGACACAAAATGAAAAATAATAGTGCAGACTGTTTTGGAAGAAAAATAGGACTCACAACAGTAGTACAGGTATCACTCACATGGTATGGAGCTTAAACTGGCTCTAAGTAAGATTGCTTGCAGCGGTACAATCCCCACTGATGGATATAATTTATGAGGCAAATATCTCGATGTGCAGATAGGTATATGAAAGAAGAAAATATCCAAAAGTGCTCACTGTAAACATAAATATGTGATGCAGTACAAAAATATATTATACTCATATTTGATAGAACGTTAAGTTGCTGTGGCTGTGTGGTTATGGATCAACTCCAGGATTAGGATGCCGTTCTGCAAAGCTGGAGTAAGGGTAATTGCTGCAATGTGAATCACCGCTATTTACCACTCTTCTGCAGTCTTATTCTGGAGACCACTAGAATGCGTACGTAAGACTTCTATTAGAGATGTAGTGGATCTGGAGCTCTGCTGAGATAGAGGACTCGTAGTTGCCACCCCTGCATAGGTATGTATTAACTTGCTTGAAGACGATAGCTCTGTCCAGCTTCAGCAATCCAAATGTGCACTTTAGGTATTCTTCTCTGCGAGATCAAGAATAGGAAGGTTGCAAAAATATGGTCGCATTTGCTGAGAGTATAGTTTGGGTAAGCTGAAAAAACTGAGCAGGCCATCTTGTCAGTCATGAGACCCATTGGTCATGTATCAGAATATTTGAGTTTAGATGCAGGAAGACTCCCAGGATCAGGATAATCCCACTGGTCCAAAGAGTATGGGAGAGAACTTCAATGCAATCACTAATCTATTGGCCGTTTCTCTTGTGCCAAGTCAGCAAGAAAGCCTGTAAAAGTGCTGTGCTGCGTGAAGGTTGGATGAGGTTCTATGTGGTCACCAGGGTGTCCCCAATCTAGAGGTGACTGATAGTAGTCATTGAGGTTGGTTATGTCCGTTTTATGGACAAAAAACCTGGCCAAGCCCCGCCCCTTATTTTGCATTATCGATGATAAATATGTAGAGAACATTTTCATGGCCCAGGAGTATCTTAACTTACTACGTAGCGCAGACATAGGCATCATGGACCACTCCGACCACGCACCGGTACTGATCTATACACAATCCCCGCTCTTTAAACCGAGAGAAAGACAGTGGAAGCTCAATGAATCCATGCTGGACGACTTGGAATTTACCACCACAATGAGCCAAGCCCTAACTTACTATTTTACGACGAACGAAAGTCCGGACATGCAGCCGCTAACTCTCTGGGAAGCCCATAAATGTGTAATCTGAGGACACCTTATAACGAGCGGCACCAGACGTAAAAAACAAAGGACGACGCAAATCGCTAATCTGACAAGCCAAATAGCGGAGCTTGAACAAGCCCATAAATCCACCCTGGACGACAGCACGTACCTCCGCCTCACGGAAACCCGCAGAGAGCTTCAAGATATACTAATCCAAAGACTACTCCACACTGCTAGGAAAGCATCTCGATACTTCTACGAACACTCGAATAAAAGTGGACGACTACTGGCAAGGATGCTCCAAGAAAAACGGAGAACACGACACGTCCACAAGATACACACGAAAGAAGGTGCCATCACCCGGCTCCCGGAGGGCATTTTAACAGCTTTCAAAGAGTATTACAAGACGCTATACGACCAAGCACAACATAAAACTGGACAAACGGCAACACACCATCAAGATCGGATAGCTACATACTTAGAAGAACATATCACCCGCAAACTGACACCTGAACAAGAGGCCGACCTGGAACTACCCCTGACAATTGAGGAATTAGCGGGAGCTTTGAAAACATCCAAACCACACAGGGCACCAGGACCCGACGCCCTCCCTATCGCGTATATACGAACATTTAAGGACATTCTCCTTCCTAGACTCCTCACCGGGATCAATTCCATTCCAGAAGGAGGACGCTTCCCCAAAGACACCCAGAGAGCGACGGTCGTGATCATACCGAAGGAAGGAAAAGACCCAACTAATTGTGCCAGCTACCGACCAATCTCACTGCTAAACGCGGACTTAAAACTCTTCGCCAAAGCCATGGCCACCAGAGTAGCGCAAACGCTCCCCGACCTGATACACCCGGACCAGGTAGGGTTCATACCCGGAAGGGAGGCCAGGGACAATACCATCCGAGCCCTTAACATCATAAACACAACAGTAGCCAGCAAACAAGATATGGTGCTTCTATCCACCGACGCCGAAAAGGCGTTTGACCGGGTAGACTGGAACTATATGGCAGCGACCCTGAGCCACATGGGGTTTGGCCCACGACTGCGAACCTGGGTAGCCGCACTATACACCACGCCGTCAGCCCGCATACAAGTCAACGGAGCGCTGACCGACTCATTTGACATAAGCAACGGCACAAGACAAGGATGCCCCCTATCCCCCCTTCTATTCGCCCTCACTCTCGAACCCTTCCTTGAAGTGGTTAGGCAGCACGGGGGGATCACGGGACATTGCATAGGCGGCAAGGAACACCGAGTAGCGGCTTACGTCGACGACATGCTCTTCTTTCTAGAGCAACCTAGAGTATCGACACCAAACCTCCTGGATGCATTTCGAAATTACAGTGAGGTATCCAACCTAAAGCTAAATCTGGATAAATCCAAAGCAATGCTGCTCACGAGGGACACAGCTCTCCAGCAACACATCCAAACGCAATTCCCCTTCAGAATATGCACCTCCAAATTGCGATACCTTGGCGTCTGGCTACCTAAGGACACGACGCACATATACCAACTGAACTTTGCTCCCCTCCTAACTACCCTACAACAAGATTTAAAACGGTGGCCGGCCCAGTACATCTCATGGTTTGGCCGCATTAACGCAATAAAAATGAACGTAATGCCTCGCATTTTATACCTATTCCAGACATTACCAACGACCATCCCAAGAGGGTTTTTTCAAGCGGTAACAACTACCATCCGACAGTTCGTCTGGAACCACAAACCATCACGCGTGAAACGGTCAACCTTAGAGTGACCAAAAAACGAGGGCGGAACGGGACTTCCGTCGATCACCACATACTATCAAGCAACCCACATACATCGACTGGTCGACTGGCACGCTAACCTGAACACTAAACAATGGGTCCACATAGAACTACAGCAAGCTCAAGGCAAAATCCCCGCCCAGCTGTGGCTGGGCGAAGCATCTCTTGGGAATCTACGCACGGATAACCCAATGATAAATGCCACGCTGCAGGTCTGGTGCAAGGTGCGTTACACCAGGAACCCGCTTACACCTATCACTAACAACCCGAAACTAGCGGAGGGCTTGGCCATGCCGACCTAAGGAACCTGGGAGCTACAGACTGGGTATACATAAGCCAATGGTGTGACGGACCGAATCTAAAGACACTGGCAGAACTACTACAAGACCGCAGACCAAATAGCATGGACGAATTCCGATACCACCAAGTAAAAACGTACGTTGCCGCTGTAAAAGGCAGGGGCCACCTGCACCGCCCACTGCTCTACTTGGAACAACTATGCACAGAAAGGCACCACCTCACACATGGAGTCTCGATCCTATATGCCACGCTTCAAAACAGCGGAGACAAAGCACCGCTGGGATTTACGGAACGATGGGAAAGAAACGCGGACATAGTACTCACGGATAACGAATGGGAAAAAATATTCCAACTCATGCACAAGGGATCCATAAGCACTAAATTCCAAGAATGTAATTACAAAATTTTGACTCACTGGTACCGGACCCCAGATGTTCTACGACACATCCACGACTCGGTTCCAGGCGAATGCTGGCGGTGCGGCACAGAAATAGGCACAGGAATACACATTTGGTGGAAGTGCACGCACATCATACCTTACTGGTGAATGGTCCACCGAATGATAAAAGAAATCACGGGAACAGAGGTCCCTTTCCAGCCACTACCAATGCTGCTAAATCACACCCACACACCCCTGAAAGCATCCAAGAGAGGCCTCGTCATACACCTGCTGACGGTTGTGAAAACGCTCATTCCAACGATGTGGAAAAGCCCAACAGCTCCCACATACCAACAATGGATAGACAGGGTGGAAGTGATCTACAATATGGAAAGGATGACGGCCTCCCTGCAGGGACGCTCAGAAAAATGTGCCCTGACATGGTTCCCGTGGATGGACTACATATCCAAGACAGCAGCAAGAACTGACGTGGGAGGAGACAGGGGCGCCGCCGCAGCGGCACATACACCCCCGACAGAAGGACACACACCCTCCGGAGCCAACACGCCCGACTAAACCCCACAAGACAGGAAATAACCCACAACCCTCCCCAGCTCCATCCCAACCCCAAGACTCACTAACACCCGACAGAGTCTAGGTACAGACAAACAAAGGAAGGACATGAGGAGTCCCGAATCAAAATAGGCAATACATACAATAAGACGGACAGGAAGAGACTCACGATACACACAGACAACACCAACGCAATTTGGGCCCGCTGGGTTTCCCTAGGTTAAGGGAGCAAATGGAACCAATTACAGTTAACTAACCCCTAAAACCGAAGGGACAGGAGAGAGAAGAGAGGGAAAGAGGGGGAAAGGGGAAAGAGACACCCCAACACAAGAAGGAAGAGGACTAACACAGTATACCAAGGCAGGGACTGTCACCACGCATGCTCATACACAGGCTCTGCAGACACGATAGCACACCAACATAACCAACACCCCTCACTACAAATCAGTAAGCCACCGGCGCCCATAAGTAGACGCGCAACGCTCACACCAAAACCTACCTAATCATGGCTCCGCAGTTGACAAATGCTCTCACTCGATCTCCTCCAGTACCTCCCCAGCCATAGCTCGGCACTTAAGTCCACAAGTCCGAGGTTCCCAAACAGAGATCAGAACGTAAAACATATTTCTCTCTCACCCGCCTAGGGGGGACTAGCCGGACAGACGGACTCGGGGGGAGGCAGGGTCACGACTCTTAGGCTTCTCTACCACCTTAACAAGCGAACACCATATGATGGACGCCACGCAAGACCCTACTGGGGATGGAGGCAGTACTCTGCAGTCACACATATGAAAATAAACCACAAATCACAGCCCCAGGCCGACAGTACACAATATACACGAAACAACACGAAACCAACACATCGGTATAATGTATACACGATACCAGCAATATGACCACATGACGTATGACTGCTAAACTGGCAAGATCACTACAAGCGAAACTAGGTGAGAAACCCAATTACACGTGCCGAGCTGGAGTGGTGATGGCTTGGGGAGGGTGACATGAGGGGGAGAGAAGGAATACTGGAAAAGAGGCCACAGTGGGATGGTGTAACATGATGCACAGATGGTTGATAATAGGTACACCTGTTGTATATAGATCTACCTGTCATGTGCTAGCCAGCTATGCTCGTCCTGAGCCGACGCCTACTTACCAGGACTATGGAATGAGACATACTCTTGGACACTGCCCCTGCTAGTTTAACCTATGTTCCCAGAATGTTAATCACTTGAGCAGGTTTGACACACAGTTTTACATACATTGCTTTCCCGATGCAAGTTATGCCGCATAATGTTTACAAACAGCATATTTTCGATGCGATCTATGCCCTGTTGTGTTTATGTACATTGTTTACTTTGACGCAAACTGATGCATAATGTTTATTTCTGTTTAAACACACTAATGCACAATTGAAACTTGGAAAAAAGAAACAAAATTAAAATAAAGAATGTCAAAAAAAAAAATATGTAGAGCATTCCATGCTGGTAATATTAAGATTGTGATGATGGACATGGATTGTCATTTGTCCTTAAAGGAACACTAAAGTGTTACGAATACAAACAGACAGCCTCTCTGTCAGTCCTCTCCATAGAGGACCATGTATGGTCTTAGTGCCTGCTGCACAGTGTAAGAATATCTAATGATGCACTCTTGCCCTGCTACCCAATGACTGTACCCTAGTGTCCCAGGATGTGGGACATCAGGGAACATAGTCGGGATTGCCAGACTGGATCTTGAAATCAGGACTGTACCCCCAAAAGCAGACAATTGAGAAGCATTTAACAAGACAGTTGAGAGACATTTAATAACAAGTTAACAACTGCAAGGATACACAGAAGGCAAATTTAGCACATTATATGGTAGGATTAAAGGCCACGATTAATTTCTAACATATTAATATGAAGAAAAGAAAACAAGTTCAGTAAAAGAATTTTGGCAGAATTTAAAACAAATTAGGCATGAACATTTTAAAGCTTAGTATGGATTATGCTACATTAATTCATTTAATAGTTATATCTTGATTAATTTGGGTCATTTACAGTATCATTCAAAAAGCCCATATTTAAAAAGGAAAAGTTTAAACAATGATTTCAGAAATATTTAATGAATAATTAAACATATATACCAATTTTGCTAATGCGGTGAACATTCTGCAAAGCTTGTACTGCTGAAATATACACGAGATAAAAAAATATGCAGAGTTATATAAATATTATCCATTTCTTGAAAATGTTCTGCATTTATTCTCCTGTTAATGTAAAAAAATATATCATCTGTTTATTAAACATGCCTAAAATTAAATAAAACAGTAAAACAGTTACATTGCTATCATAAATGCTGTGCTAAAATTATACTCCAGAAAAATAATAAATATATATATATTGGTAGATATAAAAACTAAACATAGTAATATAGCTAAAGATGGGAAAATATAAAATACTGAATAAGGACAATATGCAAGAGGTAAACAAAAGCAGGGTATAGGTGCTCACTATAACTTAAGAGATGGATTGGGATGCAGGTTATCACACAAGATTTTCCCAACCTTGTAAAAACACAGACAGAGCAAAGAAGAAAAAGGAGATAATCCGCGCCAATGGTTTAGTGAAACCACATGTAAATAGAAGTATATACATACATAAATGCAACAGAATCTTGTTGATGAATGGATATCTCAAAAAGACAAAAGCAGAGATAACAAACAATTTAAGTGTAGTATTTTTAACTTATTATGGGTAACGAAGGCTCACTCACACTTTCAAGAGCTATATACAGCTCTGCTGTTGAAGGCGTGGATGGTATAATCCCCGTATAAGGTTGTAAGTACAGCATTAGTGATGGTATATTCAACTGTGGTGATGGTGGTTTCATTTTTCAGAGCATGAACCTGTTCTAGTGCTATAATCATCACCTGGGATATGCAGGTCCAGAAGTACAATAAAGTTCAGGAAACCAAAGATATATAGAGTAGATGACAAATAAATTCAAAATAATTAAATTTAAAGGGATAAACTTTATTAAATAAACAAAAACTATATGTAATGATATATCTTAAATTTAAAGGGATAAACTTTATTAAATAAACAGAAACTATATGTAATGATATATCTTAAAATCCAAAGTGGGTAAAAGTACACTTAACTCGTTTCACCATGGGGTTTCTAGGAAACCAATCAGAAAGTTTTGTATCATCTCTTAATTGTTATTATTATGAATATAAATCTTACTTATTTCAAAGTTAAGTCACACTACTGATGAAACCCCATGGTGAAACGCATTAAGTGTACCTTTACCCACTTTGTATTTCAACATATATCATTATATATACTTTTTTTATTTAATAAAGTTTATCCCTGTAGATGTAATTATTTTGAATTTATTTGGCATCTACTTTATATCCCTTTGGTTTCCTGAACTTTACTGTACTTCTGGACCTGCATATCCCAGATAGGGATTATACCACTAAAGCTCCACTACACTAGAGCAAGTTCATGCACTATCACCACTGTTGAATATACCATCACTACTGCTGTACTTACATCCTTAGACGGGGACTATACTGTCCACACCTTCAACAGCAGAGCTCTATATAGCTCTTGAAAGTGTGAATGAGCCTTCGAGCCTACAATAAATTACCTCATAATAAGTTAAAAATACTACACTTAAATTGTTTGTTATCTCTGCTTTTGTCTTTTTGAGATATCCATTCATCAACAAGATTCTGTTGCATTTATGTATGTATATACTTCTATTTACATGTGGTTTCACTAAACCATTGGCACGGATTATCTCTTTTTCTTCTTTGTTCAATATGCAAGAGGAACTGTTAAATAAAAAAAATACTAGAAGTGCACATGATGTACAAAAAGTTTTCCAAGAACAAAAATGGGTTCAGATACTACAAAATTAGTGATTATGCTTGTGTTTGAAAAGATTCCTTTTTTTTTCTATTTGCACCTGTTTATATTATTATCTGCAAAACGTATTCTACTCAAAATAAGCTAACTTGTGAAAGCAAACATTTTTATACATAAATCTTAAAATGCGTAAAATTACTGTATATTATGTGACTTTATTGAACTACAGTTATCTGCACTTTAAGAAAAGTCACATATTAGAGAATAAAAAATCCCAAATATGATACCTGAAATTTGCACATGTGGTCTATTTTATTCTTCTGAATAGACTCATTTAGATGTCTTCTTACATCCTGTACTGGTGCAAAGACAATGATATAACCAAATAGATCAAGCTTAGTGTTAGAGATTACACCATTATTTATACATAACCAATACAAATGTGCATCAAATGTTTATTATTAAGGTCTATTTAATAATTACAACATTTGGGGGGAGTATATCTTCGCACCCGATGGAACAACATCACCCCATGAGTATGCAGAAGCAATGAGAACCCCTAT